TAACCTACCTAAAGCTACAGAAGACTTTATTCATCCCCTTAGCACCCGGGTAAACAACAACAAAGATCCTAGGCTCAAGTGGCAGCACCCATTCTAAAAGAATCCTTTATGTAGCACTGTAAAGCTGTGCAGAACCAGATACCAATTCACTAGCATGAATACTGCAAGCTTCAGTATCACCCACTGATGATTGGTAGTTGGAACCCAAGCAAAAAGGTCTGCGGAATGAAATCTGCAGAATGAAATCTGCACAAAACCTGTCTACAAACTGTAGGTAAGACAGGCTATATGTGAAGCCAACATGCCAATGCCCTGATCGACACAATTCCCCTAAGGGAAGAAGAAAACCTGAAGTGACAGGAAAAAATGGAAACTGTTGCTACCCATAACAGAAACAGGGAAATATCTTCCTGACTGGAATATATGTGGTCAGCTTTAGCAAAGTCTGTTGAATTAGATGTCATTATCTGAAAGACCCCAGAAGTGAATGGAGGAATTCCATCTTGAGCTTGATATCCTCTTGGTCTGGAGTGCCTTACCTGGAGCTAAAAAAACCCATCTTTTGGCATTCTCTTGCAGCCTCAGTGACCATTTCTGTAACTCACCAATTAGCTGTGTGGGCCAACATAGTCCCAGGGCATAGGAGGCATCCCCTCATTGCAATACCTGTGGAATTCTGAGAATTGTCATGCAGAAATAGGTTTTTTGTAGAAATTTGTACTTCTTCTGTTATTGCCATCTAGCTTTGAACTTTGTTGAAGACTGCTTGACAGGATAGAAGGAGCTAAAATTCCTGGATGGTTTAGAAGGCACGTATCTTCTCTACAGAGGTTTGGGAGAAACTTCTCTGTCTTTAACACTGCCTCTAGTGGATCGCCAAAGAAACGCTTACCCACAAAATGAGTGCTGGTCAGATTGACTTTCAACTTTGCATTGCTGCCTAAGTTCCATAGCCAAAACTACTTTCTGGAGACCATATGCTAGGTCATTAATCTTGCTTCTTCTTGTAAAGAATCTGGTATCACCCAGGAATGCCAAGGTACAGGATTTCTTCAGCAAATTAGTATGCCAAGTTTATACTATTTTCAGTGCAAGGCCAAAACCTTTTTATTTAAACAGTATTTAAAACTTTAATAGTTTTTTAAGTTTAGTCGCTCTGTTTGTTTCGTGATTTATTGTTTTGTTCTGTTTATTTATTGAAATTGTTGTTTAAATTGTCTTTTTAAATATTCTGTTTTATTATTTATTGAAATTGTTGTTTTAATTGTCTTTTTAAATATTGTAAGCCGCCCTGAGATCTTGTATAATAGGACGGCATACTAAAGCTTTAAATAATTTAAAGTATTTTATTTAACATATTTATGTTAAATATTTAACATATTTAACTTATTTTATAACAGTATTTTATTTATATAAGCTGTCCTGAGGCTTTTGCAATAGGATGGCATATAAATATCACAAATCAATCAATCAATCAATCAATCAATCTCTGGTGTTCTTGTCTAACTGACCATTGCTGAGCTGTTTGTTGGCCCATATGAAAAGAGCCCATAGGTCTGAATGCTATAGCTGAGGCATCAAAACCTGAATGAAATGAGCTCTAACCCTCTTGCCATGTTGGAGTTACTGGCAATTTGGTCTCAGAAGGTAGGAATGCTCTGCATGCTCCAAATGCATCTGTGTCTTGGGGATCTCGTACCAAACCTCAAGGAACAGGTAAAATTTGTCACAGAAACAGTGTTAAAGCTAGATTTTGGAGGAGTTCAGCATATTCCACAGAAAATGGCTGAAGGAAGACAGGGAGGAAGGAGGAACAGATGGGAGAATGAAGGGAAGGCTGATGCAATTTCAGATGGTTTTGTTGTCTGGTGGGAAGTAGACCTTTGTGCATCCTAGGAAATTCAAGCTGAAGATTCTTCACAGCTCTGGACAAAGGTCTATGAAAATAACCCAAGAGGGAAAAGCCTACTTCAAGAAGGCTTGTCTATATGATTCTCTTTCCCTGAGATCTCTCAACCTTTTCTACTGGATGCATTAGAACTTGTCTAAGCAACCGGTAATGACTTCAGCTATGTTGGGAGTATGTTGGAGAAGAGTCTGAATGTTCTTCTCAGCATTCTCACTGATGAATGACAAACAGGAAAGGCTCTTCTCACTCAGAAATGGTAATTCCAGGCTTCCTTGCTTACTTTCAGCAAATTGGGCTCTCTGCAGTGGAAACCCTGCAAAAGCTTGTTTACTTGTGGCATAGGCAGAAAGATATTGAGGGGACCACAACAAAACTGAGGGGTAATAGGTATATCATCTACCAGATAGGAAGATTGTAGAGATTGATTTATATCATGGAGGAGGAAACTTTCCCAATTCTGGCCACCCTCCCTTGGAGATGAACATCTAATGAGGGACTGGTATCTTTGATATCTTTGTGAATTAACAGTAACTCCAGCAGCCACCCTTTTCAACTATCTTGGTGGTGAATCTAGAATGCAACCGGGCACATTTGAGACAGGGTATTGCTTTCCCCCTGCTTCTCTCTACCAAGTCTCTAATACAGATCAACTGAAACCTAGATGCTAATGACTTGAATGGAGACTGATGTAGCATTTTAACAACAGTACACGCAAAGAGGGGAAGGAGCTGATACCTGACTGGAACTATATTTTGACAACTGGTTAAGATTATCATGTACTATGAAGCACTTGATAGCCTATTAAAAGGTTTTAATCAAATTCTGGATTTTCTTACTGTATAAAAGTTCTTAGGCATGTGTATATGCACACTGTCTGTTCATGTGTTTGTGTGTAAATAGTTTTTATACTATGTTTTTTAAGATTTTAGTATTTCTGAACTCCCCAGAGAGCTTTGGTTATTGGGTGGTCAAGAAATCGATAAATGAAAAATGAAATGAATACCACAGAAAGAGATATGGGTGTGAAAAGACCCAGAACAGCAGGCAGCACTCAGCCATCTAAGCCCGCATCCTTTGATACCTTTTACCTCTGCTATTCAGAAGAGAAATAGAGTACCTCTCCCCAGCCCCATTCTTCCATCTCTTCCCCACACTTTCTGGTTAACATAACCCAATCCTCAATACCAAAAAGACAGAAAAACAATTAACCATCCAAAATATAGTTTATAATGATCTTTGAACTCTGACCCTATGCTGAAGATCAGCTGCACAGAAAGATAAAGCTAAGTGCATACTATGAAGTTTGGGTAACTTGAGTGTGAAAAATACTAATAAACGTAAGCTGAAGATATATACCTTACCTTAGCTCTGTGCTCGACATTAGCTTTTCTGTCAAGGAGAAGGCTAACCACTTCAGTTCTTCCTTGAAAACAGGCCAGTGTCAAGGCAGTATTCCTGTTGGTCTCTATCTGTGCATTAATATCAGAACCCATGTCCAAGAGCAGCTTAACAGCAGCAGTATGACCATTCATGGCTGCTAACATTAATGGAGAGATGCCCAACTTGCTACCAGTTCTAAAACCAAATGAACATGTATTATATTTTAGTTATATTCATATCTACTCATTTCTATAGTATCAAAGTCTTTACACACCTGAACACAGGTTGTGACAACATGACAGATACATCAAATGATGGCTGCAATTATATACAGATAGCACCTGAAAAAGTTATTTTTAAAAATCAGGTAATTATTTTTAAATTATCAGGTAATCAGTCCTTCTATTTTAATGCTTTTTGATTTAGGTAGTAAAAGTAAATGCTGATAGTCCTACATTGTTCTCACAGGGATCCCAGAAGCTACAAAGGATAGTTGCACACTCCCAAAAAAACTGGACAGAATGGGTAACCAGTCAAAGGTAACAGGCAAGCAATAGATGAACATGCAAACAGGCTTGGTTCTGTCTATGGAGTAATTGATAGCTTTTCAAACTCTCTTCCCTAAGGACAGTAGAATAAGAACAACATGTGTTCTTAAGCTCTGTGGAAGGAAGAAAAGGTACTGGTGGGAAAGATGGACCATTCTGTCCTGGGGAAAAATGCAGAGTTCTTTTTTATTGAAGTGGCTCTGTGATAAAGGCATCCATCTCTTGCTTTGAATGTCAACATTTTAGGAAGGAGGCACCAAGGGGTTAGAATGGAAACTCAGTGACAGTCTGTAGGATGACACCACGAGCAGGCTGAGAAAAAATTCTGAGGAATTTACAAATATGTGAATAGAATTTCCCAGAATGGAAGATGGGGCCAACACTCATCTATGTAGAATATTCATTCTGAACTCTTAGAAGGAAAGCTAGAGTCTCCTGTACCTAAAGGGCAGCAGTGTACTTACCTGGCCCAAGAGGAGGGAGAAGACAAAAAAGAGGATGACTGGGCAAGAAAAAACTGCTGCTGTAGGTGCAGGTGATGGAAGAGTGCATCAATAGCCTGTGCACCAACAGCCACTGAAATGAACTTTTCAGCCATCTAGGCAAGGGTGGACTGAGATGAAAAATGAGCCAAACATGGGGCCAAATGCATCTCTCTTGCACCCCCAAATGTTGCTTTGATGTTGTGAATTAGTTTACCTTTAAAACAGACAAGAAGCAAGGAGACTGATGGCAACTGCCTCCACCAACAGAAGATATCTATTGAGTATTGGGAGACTTCTACTCATTCTCTTATTTGACTCTGATTTCTTAGCCTTCCTCAATGAGAGCTGAATTCTTTCCTTAAACAGATAATTTACAGAGCAGTTCTTTGTAGACACCTGGCATAGCAGCAGGAGCATCGGAGCATCATCACCTCTTTTTTCTCCACAGGATCACTCCCTTAGTCATTTCTTTAAACCAAATCTACTTATGTTAAGTCTTTGACAGAATTAACATAAAGGCATGTTTTATCAATGCTTTTACTAATGTAAATAGGAAAATACAAATTTAATATGGCAAGAAAATGTTTGGCATATTAATTTTCAAACTTGCATGAAAATAGGAAAGACTCCCAAATCTGGGTTGTGGTATGCGGGTTTTATATCATCTATTTCAGAGAAAAGAAATTGGACTATTATTCCAAGCATGCTAACATATGAGTAGGGGTACAAGGATGTGAGCACTGACCCTACCAGCTAGAACCCATGAGTGCTGGTCCCTGGTTCTAACTCTGCCATATGGAATGGAAAGATCTAGCCACATTCTTTTACTCCTGCAGTAGCTACAAATCTGATGTAGGCACCAAGAAATCTGTTTGGTCTGAACAGAAAAGTATATCCAAGTTGGAAAGAATTTCAGTGTCGTTTGGCCAAACAAATAAATAAACGCTCCAATAAAGTAAAATGTCTGGCTCAAAGGGAAAGGAGAAGGCTCTTTCTAAGACTTGATTGTAGACCTTAACTTCTCCCATGTTTTTGGAGATAAAGAAAATTAAGTATGAAACAAATGTAAAAAGGGAACTTGCCTTGAATTTATCTCTGCACCAGCATTCAATAGTATTTTGATGATATTCACGTAACCACCGGATGCAGCCAAGCTTAGAGGTGTGTAATCAGAAACATTTCTGTGCTCTTTGTTTGCACCGCGAGCTAGCAGGAGTTCCACCACCTGAATTATTATAACAACAGTTAGTCAAGAAGTGATTAGCACTCTAGTCATGAACATAAGCTATAGTCAGTGTCCCTCTCAGCTTAGCAGCATAGAACAGGATATTCACTGCAACTTCCATATTTTTTAATGTCACTCCAGGCAAAATACATGATTCTGACCATGTGGTTATGTCAGAATGTTAATGCAGGTTGCATACCTGTAACTGTAGTTCTTCGAGTGGTCATCCGTGCATTCACACATATGGGTGCTGTGACTGTGCAGTGCTCTATTCGGGAAGATTTCTCTAGCTTAGCCTAGAACTTTCCATGGAAGCCTTGCCCCCTCCCTTCCCCTATATAATTGGTGGGCTCCTGCCATTTTCTCAGTTTCACTGGAGACCATCATTTGCCATCTGTGTATCACCCAAGAAATGTTAGTATGTAAAGGCTGCATGCAGTATCTTTATAGAGTCACCAACACCAATGTGGGGCCGGTGGGAGGGTTGTATGAAAGCGCAGGTGACCACTCAAAATGCAACCTGTATTTCTTCATCATCGTCTCTGTGCATCACACATATGGGTGATTAGCATTCCTCCATGGAGGTGAGAGATGTCGGTATGTTAACATATAGATTGCCATAGGACAAGTAGTAGACCTGACTTCTCACCTATGGCCTGTCATATAGCACTCATTCATCAATATATGGAGACAGTTTATTAAGTTACAGTTGTCTATGATCTGCAAACACATCTGTCCATTAATGTATGAGTCCAACATCATGCATGTATCAGTGTTCGAGTGCACTTCTGAAGAGTCACTAGGTGAAGGTATGTCAGTGCAAGATGGAAGACAGCACAGCTCCCAAATCAACAGTGTTTTTTAGCTCCCACATATCCAGTTCTCACACTGAACCAACGTTGACGGTTTGGACCATGTTCCTGCCCTGCAGAGGTCCTCAATTGGGATGCCTGCATGAAGGGCCATAGATGTTGAGACTGCTCTCGCTGAATGGGCCCAAGGTTGGTCAGGAAAGTCTAAAGAAGATAGTTTGTAACCCAGCTTGATGGTATTTACGATCCAATGTGCCAAGTACTGAGGACTCACTGGATCCCCCTTACAATGGTTAGCATATTTGATAAATAGACATTTTGTCTTCTGTACGGATTTTGTTCGTGATCGGTAGAAAGCTAGTGTTTGGTGAAAGTTGAGAATATGTAAAGCCCTTTCAATGTCCATAGAGGGTGATGGATAGAAGGCTGGAGTGACTGTTGGAAGACAGCAATTTTGACACCACAACCGGCACACTTTCTAAAAAGCCGGTTCGCTCAGCAACACTGGGTCAGCCAGAAGGGATTTAGAGAGAAGACGATAGGTGGGGCTTTTAAGTTAGTTAGTTTGGTGAGGAGACATGAGCTTGGGGGAGGAGGGGTAAAGAAGATAAAGTGAGGAAAGGAAAATGAGAGATAAGAGATCAAAGATGAAGTGATTAAATGACAGGAAATTGTGAGAAGTTCTGAGGCATGAGAAAAGTTAAGGAATGCTAGAGAACCTGATGCACTTTGCAAACGGCGGTTGAAAGTGGACTGATGAAAAGGTGGGAGCCCATCTTGTATAGGGGGGGAGGGGGAGGGGTGGGGCTCCTGTGGAAAGTTATAAACAAAGCTAGAGTAATCTTCCCAAACAAGGCACTGCACAGGCACATCACCCATATGTGTGATGAACAGAGACCACAATGAAGAACTGAAAATACCCCAAAAACCTCTGTAGAAGAGTTGAACACTTGCTTGAGTGGTTGCCAATGTATCACGCCTACTTCTTTGGGAAGGTAATATTAATTAGTGAAGCCTTCCCCCAGCCTATCACTGTCCAGTTGTGCCACACTACAAATTTTAGCATCCCTAGTCAGTCAAGCTGCTGAGAATTACAGTCCAATATAGCTGGAGAACAAAAAGCTGCTAAAGCTTGCATCAGTAAGGGAGGGTTTCTCCCTTTGCATATTTAAATCCACAGAACCTTCTTGTAAAATGTTCTTTATTAACCATTAATAAAGTGTTTTCCAGAAGCATAAACACACAGAATGACTCCTGGAGCATGCACAGAATAGTGTGCCCACCCAATCTAGCATTTACTTCTAGGAACTCTCCTTTGGGAGGGAACTTTTGGAAATGAGCATGCCTTCTCTCTGCACGCCGATTGACTAATTGGGCTGCCTTTCTCTGCTGACGTTGTGTTATGGGGTCGAGAGCCATAACTGCTTTGTCTTTCTCTGAGAATTTCCCCTCTTCCAAGCCTGCTCTGCTAGCTGTACATCTTGGTTATTTTGAGAGGCTGCCTGTGCTCCTGAGGAGTATGGCCTTGAGATAAGCACCTCCACTTCTCTCATCTCAACTTCTGGAATTGGCACACATTCCAAGGTCCCCTCCAGCTTCCTCCTCCTCCTCTGATTCCCAATCAGCGGGCCTTAAGAATGCGAGCCAAGAGCAACTGTCTTTCTCATTCCCAACAGGTTGGATTCATTTGTCAACAGTTTTCAGTATTGTCTTACCTTTCTTACATGCTATTGTCTTTATAGTTTTAGAATTATTTCAATAAAAATACATAACATTTAAATCAAATTACTTTCCCAATATTTCAGAACAAATACTTGCATTTATTAAAAATGATAAATTAGATCACGCTAGTGATCTTCCAATATAAACCAAAAAATATCTGATGCAAACTGAAAATTTTCAATACAACAATACTATGCAAATTAGCCTAATTTGTATAGGAACATTTTAATTCAAAATTTTCCATAAGGCTCATGCCATGGTGTACCATGTTAGCCCTCCAGGTACAGCAAAGGTATATAGTTCTCCAACTAGCTTTACTAGTAGAAATGATTTCCCTTAGAACTTAGCAAATTCAAAGCTGAAAGAAGGTCTATGGCTGACAAAATTCTAGAGGTATCTTCTTGGTAAGCAATAAACCCAGCAAAACTGGCTTCCATGAAAGAAATTCTCATTAAAGAAAAGAATTGAAATGTTTGTTTCACTGCATTCAGTACTAGTAAAATTATGTAATATCCATGTTCAAATTGCATTTAAAAACTACTTGCATTTCAGAAGCTGAAATTCGCTGCTGCAAAAATTAATTTTTTAGTTTCCACTTTATAAACATTGAAAACAACCATGAGAACTTCGAGAGGAATACCCAGGGGCTTTGGAATACTCAGAAAGTCACTCTTCTTTACTTCTTGCAACACTAGCTCCAATTGCCACTTTGCAAACCATTTTTAAATTGTTCCAAATTAACTTGCCAGAAACCACTTGAGAAACAGTGAACATATGGAAATAGTCATAAAGTTGTCTGAATCATAGCCACAATCTTAGTTAGTAAACACCCTTACTATTTTATTTTATTTTATTTTATTTTATTTAAATTGCATAGTACTGAGGAAAATCTGAGTACCCAGGCAAATCCTAATGCACAACTAAGCATGATGGATAACTGGATTCTTCCTTAATCAACCTGAGATTCTGGAGAGCAGATAAACATGAAGGGTGGCTATGAATCATGAAAGGGATATATCACTTCCTGTTCCATATATTAATTATCAGTACTGTGAAACTGTGAGTGGGAAGATACTAGGACTATCATGTCCTGCTTTGGATCTTCTGCAGGCCTCTGGCTGATTACTGTAGGAACAAGATCCTGGACTAGTCAGGCCCTATTATAACACTTAATGGTCATTAAGAAAAATTAACTACAGTTAAGTGATACAACTTCAGTGATGAATTTTATTTTAATGCCATGGCCTGATGCATGCACAGTGTTAACCTATGGATCAAGATGAATAAACATCAGATTCACACAATGATGTGACCACAGGGAGAAAACCAAAAACACCAGCTTTTAAAACTAATCAGTTTTCTATTACATCTACATTTGGGGCAACTCTGGTTACTTTAAACTTGTGGCAGGCAATATAATACCCCAGGGCACCTAAAACACATTCTTTGGTGTTCAAGACATCATATTCCTCTCAATTTTTATTTAAATAATATTTTATGCATTCTTACTGGTAGCTGAGATTGCTTCAAAGCTAAGTGGAAGCCCCTAGCTGCTTCTGTCTTAATCTCCCATGAATGCCTCCACTCAAGTCACTTGTCCTTTAAACCTAGCTATATCAATCTATAGCAGGCATTTTATGATTGTGCCCAGGAGAGCTTCTCATTCTAAATGTGCTTCTGCCCCTTAAGATTATCTGTTCCTGGGTTAAACTACACTTACTGTACAAATCCAAATTACAATACACTGAACTAGTTTGTTTGAATAAATCTTAGTCTGATCTATACATAGAGCATTGCATCCAAAAAAGCTGTACATGCACACACAGAATGATTCTAAACATTTGTCTTAAAGGTGATATTTCAAATGACCCACTAATTTCAATAGTGCTTGAAATGTGCTTAGGCACTACCCAATTTACTTATCTAGAATACACTTACATAGAAGTTTCCTTGAAATAACTTGAACAAGCTTCCGTGAATTAGTGATTAGGGTTAAAGATCAAATCTATAAACTTGCAGTTAGTATATGAAAATAAGTAGTGTCTATTTTACCTCCTGTCTTCCTCCAGAACAAGCTAAAGATAATGGGGTGTCCTTGGTTCTCTCAGACTGAGCTTCAATATCTGCACCATTGTCTAACAAGATCTCAACAACACCAACATGACCAGCTGTAGCAGCCAAAATAAGGGGAGTAAATCCTGAAAAACAGACAAACAAATAGGCATCTCTTAAGGTTTACTGACTATATTTTTTTCTTTCTCTCAGACAGACAGACAGACACACAGACAGACAGACACACACACATACAGGACCCAAATGTTATGGCTTCCCAAGTGAGAAGATAGATGGAGAGATGCCTGTCAAACCAAATCTGCATGTGGGGGCCTATAGGCTACACTAGTAAAGGCTGCCTTTAATCAGGTCAACCCTCTTCTGCTGCTGCTGGAACTGGGAGATCGTATCTCTCCATCTTGGCTGAGCAGCTGGATGCTGGAAAGTGGAATGAGAATATTGGTTCCAAGGTTAGTGTGAGGGTCCTCTTATGTGTCTGTTGCTGCAGCAGCAGCATTATGAAGCACATCTTGGTCACCGTGTGGGCCTTTTTGGATGGTGTCTAGCCTCTCATCAGTTCAGGTACTGAAGAAGCCCTCTCCATTAAAGGTAAACCTGGGAGCAGGTGTCCTAGGAAGACTGATGTCACTGAGAGCAGTTTCATGGCCAGGACAGGATGGGGATGAAAATAAAAAAATCCTGGAGCCCAGATAGTATTCTCCTCAACCCTACCAGTATGTGGTAGAGGAACTGTTAGGGAAAGAAAAATCCTTCAAATGAATGACTGGCTACGATGGTGGTGCTGTAAAGAGAGATTTGGATTCTGGGACCACAAGCTAAGCTTCGTGGAAGATGGACCACTGGCAAATGGTGGGCTGCACCTCCCAAAGAACGGGAAGCAAATGTTTGGCCACTACATGAAAAACTTCATCAGGAGAGCTTTAAACTAAAACCTATAGGGTAGGGAGATGTGCAGCATGGCATACCATCTCCTGGCAAAGACTTATATATTTCAACAGAGAAAGAACTTCAAGCAGGGCCCAGCACCAGTCTCCCAAACTATGTAGAAAGAAAACCAGGGCACAGCTAGAATGAACTTCGATGCCTCTACACAAATGCCCAGACTATGGGGACCAAGCAACACGAACTTGAGCTCATAGTACATGAGGGCAATTATGATTTTATAGAATAATGGAAACTTGGTGGGATGACCCACATGACTGGAACTCTACAACTGATGGTTATAACCTGTTGAAGAAAAACAGAAAGGACAAAAAGGGAGGTGGACATGTGTTGCCGACAACTTTCTCCAGCAGAAAGTAGAGGAAGGTATGAGAGGATCAGATATACTAGATTTAATACTAACGAACAGGGATGGGCTGGACAAAATAACAATCGTGGGAACTCTGGGGGAAAGTGAACATGCGATACTAGAATTCTTAATTATAAAGGAGACAAAGGGTAACTAGAGCTAAACAAGCATCCTGGATTTTAAGAAAGCTAACTTTAACAAATTCAGAAAAATGATAAGAGAAGTGCCATGGCAACACACCCGTAAGGGGAAAGGTGTCCAAAAGGGGTGGGATATCTTGAAAAAGAAGATTCTCCAAGCACAACTACAAACATTTCCATCAAGAAAAAGTGTGGAAGACAGCAGAGGAAGCCCACATGGCTCCACAAAAGGTTAAGTGACAGCCTGAAAGAAAAAAAGAACATGTACAGGGAGTGGAAGCAGGGCCAGGCCACAAAAGAAGAATATGAACAAACAGCAAGGAATTGCAGGAATACCACCAGGAAGACTAAAGCAGGAAATGACCTAACAATAGCAAGGGATGCAAAGCACAACAAGAAAGCCTTCTTCAGATACATCCAGAACACTCAGGGTGTCCCGCTACTTAAAACGGATGGCAGAGTGATAACAGACAACAAAGAAAAGGCAGAGGCGCTCAGTTGCTACTTTGCCTCAGTCTTCTCCCACAAGGATATCTGCAATCAAAAGGAAGTTCAAGCTGGAAGTGAGAGAGGGCAGTCCAAATCAAATCTCCAGGGCCCGATGAATTTCATCCCAGAGTCATAAAAGTGCTAGTGGAGGAACTCTCAGAACCACTGGCTATCATCGTCAATAAATCTTGGAAAACAGGAGAAGTGCCAGACGACTGGAGAAGGGTTAATGTTGTTCCTATCTTCAAAAAGGGAAAAAAGATGAACCTGGGAACTATAGACCAGTTAGGCTGACATCAATCCCTGGAAAAATTCTGGAGAAAATTATTTAAAAATTCATCTGCAAGCATCATGAAGAAAATGCAGTAATTAATAGAAGCCAGCATGGATTTATCAAAGATAAATCCTGTCAGACTAATTAATCTCATTTTTTGACTGGGTAACCTCCTAAATGGACAAAGGGAACACTGTGGACATAATCTACCTAGACTTTAGCAAAGCTTTCAACATAGTGCCACGTGACATTCTGATAAGCAAATTAGCAAAAACTGGACTAGATGGAAAAACTATTAGGTGGATCCAAAACTGGCTGCTAAATCGGTCACAGAGTGCTCATCAATGGCACCTTCTCAAATTGGATGGAAGTAACTAGTGGGGTGCCGCAGGGTTCGGTCCTGGGCCCTGTGCTCTTCAACATCTTTATTAATGATTTAGATGAGCAAGTACAAGGAAAGATAATCAAATTTGCAGATGATACAAAACTGGGCGGAATAGCGAACACCCTAGAAGACAGAATGAAGATCCAGGGCGATTCTGATAAACTTGAACACTGGGCTGAAAGCAACAGCATGACATTCAATAAGGGCAAGTGCCAAGTCCTTCACCTAGGAAAAAGAAACCAAATGCATCGATACAAGATGGGGAATACGTGGCTCAACAGAATTGAACAAGAAAAAGATTGTGGAGTAATTGTGGACAATAGGCTAAACATGAGCCAACAATGTGATGCAGCCGCCAAAAGGGCAAATGCTATTTTGGGATGCATTAACAGAAGTATTACTTCCAAATCACGAGTAGTCATATACTCTTCACTAGTCAGACCTCACCTGGATTACTGTGTCCAGTTCTGGGCACCAAGATTTAAGGAAGATACAGGTAAATTAGAAAGCATCCAGTGGAGGGCAACAAAAATGATCCAGGGTTTGGAAACACTGCCCTATGAGGAGAGACTGAAGGAACTGGGCATGTTCAGCTTTGAGAAGAGAAGACTGAGGGGGATATTATATCCCTCTATAAAAGGCTGCCACAAAGAGGAAGATCAAGATCTCTTCTTATACTAATGCCAATTCAAGTTGCGGCAACCCAGATTCAGGCTGCACATCAGGAAAAGCTTCCTCACTGTCAGAGCAATAAAACAGTGGAACCAGCTGCCTAGAGAGATGGTGGGCTCTCCCACACTAGAGACATTCAAAAAGAAATTGGCCAACCATCTGAGTGGGATCGTGTAACGTGCTGTCCTGCAACAGCAGGGGGTTGGGACTCGATGGCCTTCATGGCCCCTTCCAACTCTACTATTATATGATTCTATGTCCCACTGAGAAATTTAAAACATTTTCTAGCATTTTAATTCCTAAGTTCTACTATATGTATAATTCCATTTCTGAATTGGGTTCCCTTTTGTCAGGACTTAACAATGCTTATATTGCTGTAACCCTAAACCTGACAGAGATCATAATTACTGTTCTAACTGTCAACAAACTTTAGTTCTCTAAAATATTAAATTACAATTTTGGCTAACAGACTACAAGAAATTATTACAATGGTAGTCCCTGATACAGCTGTCATTCTTTCTTTGGATGAAGATGTCTTTTGACTAAATTCATTGGAAATTTACTTTGGCTACATTGTGAAATTTTGGTTTGCTTGCAGAATTTTCAGAAGTGGGGTTGCCCTGAAAGCTAAAGCCACAACCAATGGTTTTTTGGCATTTTTTTAACTTGAGGTAAGGATGGCCATTTTCTCCACTGATCCTTGATTTATGTTTGGAATTCCTGGCGCAGCACCCATATGTGTGATGCACAGAGACCACGATGAAGAAGTCCTGCTATTCTCTGTTCTGCACAAAAAACATGATCTGCCAACTACAGCTGAATATATATGTATACAGCTGTTAGAACTCAGGTTTGACCTTGACACTTTTAACAGCTTCACAGCCCCCTTTATTATTGGAAATACTGATTGAAAGGTAACAGCTACACCAGCTCATAATCCATGGGTATAAATAATGATTATTGGTGAACAAATATAATACTCAGGATCTTAATCAAGAATGAAATAATCAATTGGAACACCCTACTTTGCCCAATCAATGCAGTACTTTGTTGGCATTCATTTCAGAAGGAGTATTGAGTTCTTAGGTTATATTTAATCTATCAAAAATGTATGTTCCAGGTATATAAGATGCCACAACAGTTTAGGACCTTAGTTAAATCAGCAACTTGCTGGACGTGCAATGCAACTCACATTTCTCTTATTCATAGGTTTTGGCAGTACCTGCTGGCTGCTTCATTTTTGGAGGAGGTAATAATTTTAATAACTTTTGTGATGCAACATTCTTTAATATTTACAGATACACATACCCTCTAAACTAACTCCCTGACTCTTCAGACTTAACATTTGAAATTAACATTGTCAACATAAATGGGTTTTCCATACCCTTTTGATAAATAAAATATACATTGGAAGGAAAACAGCCACCTGAAACACAAGAATGGGCACAAGATTTGATGAAACTTTCATTTTTCAAACAGGTAGTTTTTAGTTGTAATTTACAAATAATAAATATATGTATATTTGGGCTATCTTTCTTTAAGTTTGTACAAAATTATCTTTAAAATGTAGTACATCTTGCTATATATTAAATATGCATAATCATATCCTATATATATATTCATTGTAATAGATTTACATGCCTTGTTATTAAAAATATCATTTTTTTCTTTTTTGTTTTAATTTTGGTTTTGATCCTCACATCTAAAGAAAAAGTACACACACACACACACACACACACTGACCACACTTTCCTAGAAAATGTAAGATTCGCGTATTAGTTGGAGTAGACTTTGGATGGGAATAACTCCTCAATCTATTTCCATGGGATTGTGAAAACCTGTAGGTAGCAGAAAACTGTTAGTCTAACCATTTTATCAAAAGGTGCTCACCCTTTTTGTCCCTGTGTTCAATATTAGCTCCCCTCTCTAGGAGCGTCTGTACCAGTTCTTCATGTCCACCAGCACAAGCAAGAGTCAGTGCAGTATCGTGGTTACTTTCAGTCTAGAAAATAAACACTATTAATGGTTTTCTTTATAAATCAAGATTGTGTGTTGATTTTAGCAAATGTACAATATATAACAGCTATAACAAACATTATTAAATAATATCTAAATAGTATTAGATATTACACACTCTGAGTGAGATGAAGCTTTGTAAATGACTGGCACAGCTCAGGAATCTATTTACTTCCAAAGGATTATTAAAAGACACTGGCACTGTCTGGGAGACCATAGTCTGAGCTTGTGGTCCAAAGGCTAAGCCTTCGCCCTGTTGTCTCACAGCCAGTTAGAACGAACCAAAACAGCAGCCCCCTTCTGAGGTTGCAACTGGGCCTCGGGAGAGGAAAAATGGGATGTCCTGGGGTCATGGAGGGAAGGGAGCTGGGGCTGCAGAGTTGTGACAATTCCAACTGGCACTCCTCCCTCTCTCCTTTTACCTCATCAGTTCTCAATTTAGACAGTCAAAATGACTGCCTAAATAAAATGTACTGAGTGAGGTTCAGCAGCAGCAGTTTGCCACAGCAGTGCCTCTCTTGGGGTGTTCATACCCCTGTGAGTTCAGAGGTTTATAGGCATCTTCCACAAGGGTAATAAGATTGTGCCCCAAATCTAGAAACATAATGCCTGATATTTTCCTAAAATTTTCATTTCAAAAGAAATTAATACTAAATAATAAGTCAGACCCAGTATCCTGTGCGCTCCATTCTTCTTTCCATCCCCTCTTTCATGTTCAAAATTTTTAGCTGACATTCTGAACAAATGCTTCCCTTTGGAACTTGAAGTTTATTCTAGCATTTAAATAACAAGCCAGTTTCTGAACACACAGTTTGATTGTGGTTTATTTGTTCATGTAATTTATCTGGTTAAGTTCAAACCAGTTTCCTGTATCCAGATATAACAGGAAAATGTGTTTTGTTCACAACCATTTCTAGAAGCATGCAGCTGAAGAGGAAATGGGAGCATATGAGCTAGAGCTCAGAGCTACTTATTTTCATAACACTAAATCAGAATTAGCATTATTTCTGAACCTAGCCTTTGTCTTCACACACTGGGCCCAAATGTCTAATTCCTCCTCCTCTTAGTTTGGCCATTTGACATCCAGAAATCAGTGGGAAAAGGCCCAGCTTTACACAGAGATTGTGCCTCCGTATTATGATTGAAATCTTTAACAGATGTTTTTTAAAAGAAAGCGTCAAATTTCACTTTTCTGGAAACAGCAATTGTACTAGATCTTTACTCTGCTTTTTTCTCAATAAAGAAAATATTTTGAAGTATATTCAAAATTATCTAAAATATAATTGTTATGAACCAATCAAAGAGTTTCAGCAATTGTATGGTATACAATAGTTGTATTTAAACAAGCAAGACCCTCAGCAGTCTACAGTAAGTATCTCAGTCTTTCAGAGCACTTATATATAAAAGTGATTCTCCTTAAAAGTCTCACCTTGAATACAAACACTTCCATTTTTGTTTTGGTGTTTTGTTTTTTGGTTTCTAAATAGAATGATGATGCAGGCTTACCAGCAAAGACAGGCTTACCTGTGCATCAATATCTATGGCAGGGTAGACAGGTAGCATGGTTGAAGGAGAAATGATAGGACTCGGAGCTGGTGTCTGAGGCTGAGAAACAGACGTTGCAATGCTATGGGTAGGGGTGTTTGACACTGCAGATGCTCTTCCATTCACTGCTATTGAAGAGAACAACTGTGCTTATTCAACAGTACTTTTTGATGTTTCTGTATATTTTAATAAAAACTTGCATTAAGGAGTCACAACATATCAAACAAGAACCAACAAAGGTATTCTTCAGGCTTAATCTATGTCCAAGAGAAAATACATTTTCCCATTCTTGTGAGGACAAAAATGGAGCCAAGAAATTATATGGGGAAGCAGATTGCATTGCACCCTAAAAACACCCTGAAACTTAGACTATTAGTAACTAACTCTGGTGTGGAATTTAGTACCTCTGATAAAAGCTGTTCTTAAGTAAAGGTTTCTCAAAAAATGGACGCATTACATCAACATAGGACTATCTACAACTTGTAAAGTGAGAGATCATAGTTTAGAACCAGTAAAACAAAGTGGGTTGGATTGTCAGAACCTATCAGTCATTCAATCTTTCATTAATACATCAATAGCTATATCTGTTGCAAGATATTGCTATATTTACTCAACAGTTTGACACAAGATCATCAAAGTTGCAATTTTATATCAGAGTACTCATGAAGAGAGCAAGAGAAATGCCTTAATTCAGGGAACTGTGTTCAGAATATTTGATCCACGAGACAATTTGCCAAATTAATGTAATTTTGTTAAATGGGAACTCCACTAAGTACTCCCTATTGTCCAATGTAGTGGCAGAAGTGGGGGGAAATCAAGAACCAAGAACATGACTGAGGACAAAAAAATAGCAAATTCAAAGTTAAGAGTTTTCATCTTTATTCTGTGCATTACAATAATCTGATACACACTGAAACAAGCCTTAACTTAGCTATAGAATATGAAAATCTCACTATCTTTCATAGACTGAACTGAATTAGCATGCTGTCATCTCTTATTTTTGTCCTATAATGAAGATAAATTTTATATCAGTGCATGCTTATGACTATGGAGAAAACACTTGGCAATAATAACACCAGTAACTGCTCAAACCCTGATTCAGGATGGTTGATTTCACAAAGCAAGCGATTTGAATATCAGGTAAGGAAAATTAGCAGTGCTAAAGAAAGTTTATGAACAGCCCTGAACTTCTTTGTACAAAGTAAGTTCTTAATCACTCCTGTACTTTCAAAAGCACAGGTCCCTGGTCATGTTGTGGATTTGCTAGACTGTCTACCCTCACATAATCTTAGACCCACAGTCCTGTCTCAGAACTCTCTGGAAACTATTTGCTCATAGACTCAGATTAATGGTTTAGAGACCCATGTAAGAAAGCAGGTTGACTAGGGCTGTCAAAATAAAATATAAGGCCTGCAGCAGATGCAAGAAGGAAGTGAAACTTTGACTTATACTGAAACCAACCAGCTTTAAGCTGCTCTGCAAGTCTCTGAACTAAAGAGCAGGGAATAAATAATTGTCAATTGTCAAACAAGCTGCACCAGGTATCTTTCAAAAGTTGGTGATGATAACAGTGAAAGAGGGTCTCATCTCTGCCTGTCACCACACACAGAAAGTGTGTATCAGAGTAAGTTTTCTAGTTGCAAATGCCTAGATAAATCCTGGCCCCACCTGGAGTCTGACCTATGTATGTATGCTGTGACAAGCTTATATTCAGGCAAATAAAAGAAAAATCCCTTGAATTTGGGTCAACCTGGAAATACAAGCTTAAAACCCAGAATCTATTCACACAGATGAAGATCCACTCAAAAAGTCTTTCCCATTCAACTTTATCTATGGAATGGGGACAGAACTGAAGTGAAACCCCTGCTGCTTTCACAACACTTTGGAGGTATGCACTGGAATTACTAGCTTTGGGCTATCATCTTTTCAGACTATTTCTGTTGAGATAAAGGAAAGATGGAATTTAATCTACTTTCCTAATTCAAGTTTTCATAGACCTCTTTTTCCTTCCAATTCTGATGTATTCAATAAATTTGTAATTGCACATGTATTTCAGAAACTTGTGCTGTAATCAAAAAGGTTAACAAATCATTACAAATTATTCATATGAACTCAAAACTATAACTTCATTATCAAAGCAAAAATATCTGACTCCCAGAGCATGGGATTTTAGCATGTAACAAATTATACACACCTGCCATGATGTCATCCAGTGTGTCATTGAGGGTTTGGGCAGGGCTGGCTACCATTAACCCTTGCTGTGCATCTGTTAGAATTCCTTGTCCCAACCCTGTAAGTTGTGCTTGGCCCAGTACTGGCTGTCCAACTATAACACCTTGAAGTTCTGTAAGATTTGCAATAGAGCCTGGAGGTAAGGAACCTGCAGACAGAGGCAAAGCTTGTGGCATTGCAAGAGGCTGAATTGGAGCAAAACCCATCTGAGTACCAGTTTGCTGGGGATCGTCTTTCAGCAAGTATGGGTCCACCTGCTGCAATCGTGCATAGTCTCCCTCAGGAAGCTGCTCTCCTACCCCAACAGGAGTTAGCAGTCCCAAGTGCTGACATGGTAGTGGTGGTGGTGGTGGCGGCTGAGGTGGCTGCTGCTGCTGCTGCTGCAACTGAATTCTTTGAGCTTTGACCTCCAGATATTGCTTTTTCAATTGCTGTTGTGTTTTCAGCTGTAACTCCCGCTCTACTTTCTGCAGTTCTTCTAGGATCTTTTGCTTCTTCTGAATTTGCTCCTCTCTGGTTTTGTTCAGCTCTTCAATCTTCTCCTTTGTAAGCTGGTCAGCATGTGCCAATTCCAAGGATTGCAGCTGTGCATTCTTTTCTATGGCTTCCTTGATTCTTTGTTCCAATTCTGTTAACTTGCCCTGAGCCTCCTCAACAATGCTTTCTGGGGACTGACTGGCAATGTAACTTTGTACATCTGTGCTGGTTGGTTGCAAATGATTGTTGGACTTTTGTTTGGAAGTGGCTGTGTAAAAGAGAAACCACCTCAGAACCAAATGGAATCTGAAGAACATTCTTACTAGAGACCCCCGGTCAATATGCACAAAGATAATGTGTCACCCTGAGAAACTGAAAAGCCCAAGGGAAAAAAGATGTGCCTACATCCCTTTCTGCATTTAACTGAGGAACTAGGTTACAAATCAAAGTATTTATCTGATTTGTATCCTGCCTTTTTACCAAGAAAAATTCCACTCAATGTGACACTAAATTACTTATTTGCTAAAGAGCACAGATAATGTACAATAGTTGTTTACTCTAAATAAAGGATATTAATACCTCAGTAAATTATTTTACAAGTTATTCCTCTTAGTTACTAAAATTTAATCCTATGCATATTTACCCAAGGGCAAGTTCTTCTTCTGATGGGGCTTATTTCCAAGGAAGTATACATGATAGTGCAGTATAGGTCAATATTCTAACTTGTAAATGCAGTTAAAATGTGAAATATTCTAACTTGTAAATGAAGTTCTACGGATCCAAGATATTTACAAGCTAATTATACTGTAGAAGATTTAGAAGGGGGAAGAAAGATCAGACTCGCTGCTCTAAATGTGGCAGTGTGTGCCTACAGATAGCTAATGAAATATTCAATTGTGAAGAAAAAATCCAGATAAGTATTGTTAAAAATCATGTACATCATTATTTTCCCCAGTATTTCCCCCATACTATTGTATGCCAGTCCCCATAGTTTTAAACCCTATGCTGGTACCTTTATGAAAATATGAGTTAACATTGAATACCTTTTCATTGGAGGTGCAAGACTGGCATACAATCTCCAATCTCCAAAATGACAACATTTGAACACCTTTGCTTGCTAAGCATATGTCCATGCTATACATAAGACATGGCCTTGCACCTATATGCATTTTGTGGACAGAAAGGCAAAGATGTCTGCTTTTACATAACAGTGTTTCAGAAAGAACAACCCATCATGAACAATATTAAAGATATATATGTTTCAACTGCTATTCGTGCTATTTAGGATGCGCATGTGCACACACACAAATAGCACTATAATTCCAGTGAAAGACAGCATCCTTTTGCTGATAAACATGAAATATCCTAGCTTCTACATGTTTTTCCATAAATATTGAATTGCTATTCCTGAAATTGCTATTAAAGTCAGGCAGAACCAAAACATTTGAAAAAAACCTCAAATACTGTATTTTTCCATCTATAAGATGCCCCCATGTATAGGACGCCCCCACTTTTCCTACCCATCTCCTGTGAACAAGCAACTACTGCGCCTGCACACAGTGCTTCGCCACCCCCCCCCTGTGCCCACCGCCCCCCCCTCCCCTGCCCCCCCCCCCCCCCCCCGCAGCACGCTCGCGGCCCTCCATGTATAAGACACACTTTCATTTTTAAGTAATTTTTTTTTAAGTAGCATCTTATACATGGAAAAATACGTTATTACTAAACCTGATCATAGTAATTGAAGAATACTTGGTTTATATGCATGAAACATATTTCAAAATGTTATTGTATAGTTATTACTGGCATTAAATTCTGCCTTTGAGATACACATTACAGATCATCAATATTATTGGTAAATGTACAGTACTATTTTCTCCCAGTTTTTGCAGTGTAAGATGTCTACTAATTAATGTGAAAACACAAGCCAGAAATCTAGCTAATCCAGACATAAATGCAGACTTTCTGGGGAAAAAGCCCAGGGGTGAAAAATAGTCCATAAAAATTTATTCTCCAGAAATTTTCTCTAGAGCAGTGGTTTTCAACCTTTCCACAGTTGGGAACCAGCAAAAAAAAAAA